GTCCTTAATCAGGAAGCAGACTATCTTTTTTGAACTTTAGATATACCTAGCAGTTCACATGCCCTTAGACTGTATGTATCGATACCACTCTTTAATTGGGGGACACTAATCTAACTCATCACATCTAGAATCACAAATTCAAAGAGGATCCTATCCAGGAAGCCTCCCAATGTCCAGGTACTAAACTCGTGTAAGGACTTAAGAAGAGATTTAAGTACCCAGGACAAAGGGTGACATATTCCAAATAATTGTCTTGATTATTGTTTAGGGTTCCACAAACTAGCCATAGCAGTCATCTAGTAGATACTCAACATGTACACATCACGGTCTCAAATGTATCTTCTGACTACTTAAAATCTTGTTGACTATATGTATTCATAAAGTATAACATGGAATTTGCTGAAAAAATAGCTGATCTAAGCCTTTCTGAAAGTTAAATGATCTTTTTCTCCTTCGATATCACTATAATTTCCAATAGCTATTCTTTGGTGTCTCTAATAGAGGAAACATACTGGCAGAAACAAAAATCAGAAAGTATCTCCAATTCTGGAGAATAAATATGAGATATGGCTTGATGTTACTAAATAAAAAACTAAAGCTGACACTTTCTAAGTTTCTTTTACCAAAGTTAACTTCTGGTTTTAAAGCCCAAAACACATGATAAAAACCCCTTTTGTGATTGGTTGAGCAAGACTAATTTCAATTATTAGCCTCTATCAGGACAGAAGCGCCTTCCGTTGACCAGCTGGCAACGCCCTGAAACTTACATTTTAAGACCTATGGGTATATACAGGTCCTGCATGAAATTCTTTCTGTTCATCCAACCACTGCTGGCTTTGCAATTAATCAGTACCAATCTCAATGTTTTGCCTTTTTGATACAAATGCTAATCACAGACTTCTCATTACGTTCTCACTTGACGTAAATCTGGCCAGGACCCCAGCATTCAGTTGACTGCAATCTCAAGAAGTGAGAGAGGGGAGCAAGTGAGCTGAGAACTTAACTTTTCCTTTTCTTCAGTTTAGGAAATGAGAACTGTACTGTGTGCTGGCTCATACACATAGGTTAATGGTCTGACCACCAAATACCTGAGAGTATTCTCAATATTGTAGCTTTGGGAACAGAAAATTGAATAAGCAGCAATAATGAAGTTCCTTTTCACTCCCCTGCTATCTCTTCTTGACATCACATACAATGACTTTCAAAAAGGCAGTAGCTTTCTACTACTTCTGCTCAAAATGTAAAATGAGGTGTTCACCCTCTGCCCATGACACTCAAAAGGGTGGGAGTGGACCAAATCCCCAAAATAACTTGACAAACTATCACAGAAAACCAGCATTTCCATGGTATAAAACCCATCAGAAATGAAGCCAAGGAGTTGTTTAACATAAAAAGCTTATTTTCCCTCATTTTATCGGTAAGATTAAAGGCCTTCCATGAAGGGAAACCCAGGATTGAGAATACACACAGTGTTTTATAACTTGATTTTTTTTTTATGGACTCCTTTGTGCACATGAGCTTTTCATTGACAAATTTGCATCCTTTATATTCCTTATTCTATTTGATATATCTGTTGACTGAAATGCCCTTAATTAACTGCTTTACATATGTTCTTTCCATTGTAACACACATTCCAGTTATTTATTTATTGTCAATCACAATAAGGGAGTTGAAAACTGCGTAGGTGGAAAAATGAGAACAGAGGAATACTCATTCTAATTTTAGATCAAAAAAATTATCAACTCAGAAATAAAATTATAAGAAATAAAGATGCTACTTTGGTTTAAAATACATATGCATACACAGCTACTAGCTAGCTTTTCCATTATGTATTAAAAAGTTAAATCAAACATTTGAAATTCTGAGAGGAAAAAATGAAGAAATTCAAAAGACCAATATTTAGGGAGTATACAGAAAGGTGAAATCTGAAGCCTGTTCAAAGGCTTACTTGGTAGCACTGGCATCTGTGTTTTCATTTGACTCCTCAGATAAACCAGTAACTAACATTTTGTTCATCGTCATGCCTTCGAGTTTTCTTGCAACACAATACGGCTGCCACCTTGGCAGAAGGCAATTAAGTCTTTGCAACTCTGAACAATATCCTCTGCAGTAAAGTACAACTTCTTTGCACTGATATGTATATGATATCTATTTATTTGCACATTAAGAGTAAATTTTTAGAAATCAGCAAAAGCTGAGTAAAAGAAGATGCCTAAATTCACTGAGATCAGAATGGTACTTCCAAAGACTGGCTAAAAGCAATAGCAGCACTTTCAGCTTCGCCTAGAAACAAGTGCCCTGGAAAAGAGTGCTTTTTTTCCACACCATTATATATGGCATATTATAATAGAATCATGAAAGGACTACAAACTGCTGTGCCTGATTGAATATGTAAGCATTTGTAGAGCAGTCTGGGTAAAAAGCTGCACAGGAAAATGAGTCAAGGATTGTGGTATAAGGGCCAGAAGAAATTAATCTCCAGCTCTCCATACAGAGCAAGAACGATCACATCAGCAGTATTCTGGCAGAATTTTCTCATGTGTGAATGGTTAGAGAGAAGGGAAGGCGGCAGCAAATCCTTCTTTCACTCCCATAAAACTCAGGCACTTCAAATAATTCATCTGGACTTTTTGATTGTTTGAAATATTTTGTGATAAACATTCGCAAAGAGAATGCGATCAATGTGTATCTTTTCTACACTGATTAGGTGTCAATAACTAGCACAGAAGTGGACAAATTATATCAGGCTGTAGCGATTCTCTCTTGTACCCACCAGCCTCAAGGGAAGACCCCTCTTTGCAAAAAAGGTCTAATGGATTGATCATGGATGTGCTGCTACACCTCTCTTCTAAAATCCCACTCATTACTATAAACCATAAAATTATAATCTTGAAGATTTTAATAAGTTAGTTTGCACTAACAAATTAAGTTACACACTGATCTGTAATTGGACATGATCTACAGACATATGAGAACTGAGAACCTATGCAACTGAGAAATGGTACACACCCGCGTGTATTTCTCACCAAGGGTAGAGCGAAGTAAGTGAACAGAACAGGCATAAAGTTTTCATGATCAGTCCAAAGAACTGAGATGGGAGTAACCATGTTGCAGTAAGCTCTTCTACCCATCCTGTAAACTATCTACATCAATAATACCTCATTTGATGAGAAATATTCTGTGTGATTCAATAGATTAATTTACCATTCAGTGGATTAATTTTGGAACCCTACCTCTTCGAATTTAGTGACACAATTGGCACTTTGTGAAAAGAAAAAAAAAGATGAACTGCAGGAAATGTTAAATTATGCAGTAAAAGTGTATTCTGCCCCATTTTTGGCATATTTCCTTGAAAATTATCATTGTGACGTGACAATTAATTTTCATGAGTAGGGTCCTTATTCCTTACAATTCCATCTTCCACAGGTCAAATTTGGAAACACTTCCTTCAATGATGCCTTCCTATTTCATGTAATTCATTTCAGCCTTTAAGTCCCCAGCCTTATTAATCTATTCTTTAATGCCTCTTAATCATTTTTTCCTGCTCTGCTTCTACTATAGCAGTCAATTGATGCTTTATCAAGAAATACAGTCTCCCTTATTTTTCCCATTTTCTCTCCCCGTTCATACTGTCATAGTCAAGCTTCCTCAACGTTCTTGTATATTTTACTGTGAAATCAGTGATTTCTGTAAACTACTCTTCCTCTGATTATTAATCCCAGATAAAGTTGGTTTAGGTTAACATTTCACCAGAAAACACAGACAAGCAAATTAGCAGTTGCTTTCATTTTTTCTGTACCTTAAAAAATAGTCCTCACAAGATATCTGTGTTTTCCAAGGTTTTTTCCTTTCGTGATGCTGGCAAAAAGTATCATGTTCAGAAGACAGGAAATTAAAATTAATTTTTATTTGTACTACAGGAGATTATTTTAAAAAACTCATTGTGCTAAGTTTGCATATCACTGAGCATATGCACCGGGGCACAAGTCCTGTGAAGGCGCACTGAGTCAAATAGGGTATGTATTTGTACCACTATAGTACCAAGGATGAAAATTCAACAGGATCCACAAGAGCTTACTGTTAAATAAAATGCAATAACAATGGACATCATATGAAAAATGCTAGAGATTGTTTTATGAAAAAAGTTTGGAAAAAAGAAGAGACAGAAAATGTGGCAACAAGCTGAAGAAGTTCTATCTCAACTCCCTGAAGAGAAAGTTCTACTGTTAAAATGTTTTTAAAATACATTTCAGACAAAGAAGCTATTTCTTCCCTATTCCTAACAAAATTTGAATTTTCGCAATGGACAGGACATATGTGAATAGAACATGAACCACAATATCTTTTTAATACATGCTCAAAACTTCTGCAGCTTTTCCTCTTTTTTTTTTTTATATGCATGTTTTGAAAGTTAGATTTGTTATCGGACTATACGTGTTGCATGTCAGCGATGTCCATAGGCTTAAAAAGTGTAGTTGATGATGATCTCTTTTCAGCATCATTTTGTGGGTTTCTTTTTTTTAAATGGACTTTATAAATTACAAAGGAGATCAATCTTTGTCTTATTACAGGGAAAACTATCTTAATTTTAGTTCAATTTCAAGCTCAGCTTATTGCCTGAATTTTCAAAATCTATTAGAAATTTTAAGACAGTATCAAGACCTTCAAAACCACTCAAAACCTGGATGTTTTAACATCACTGAGTGCACAGAGCACCTGTTAATATCTCAAAACTACTATTCATTTTTGAAAATTCATACAGCATCTTTTATGTCTCTTGCTGATCTAGATGAAGAACTCTTCAACAGTACGTCTCAAATTGCTTTCTGTGTTGTCGTGGCTTTCAGTCTCTGATGCAAATCAATTATCATTTTGAAAAGGCTGAACTTAAGCATTTTTTTATAAAGTAGCTACCATCTAAATACACTTTGTAAAATCCTATTGCCGTCTACCCAACTGATTAAAATGTTTTGTCATTTTTCTGTATTGAGGCTACTTACATTATCACACAGGAGGCTCTTGTTTTTGGTGCCTGTTGCATAACAGTCACAGGGTTTGCAAACATCAATGGCTGAAAGATCTGCACCTGCTTGTCTGTAATGGAAATCCTTGCACAGCTCACAGTTCCTTCCTGCATGAAAGAAAGGTTATGCATTATGGCTTCCAATTCATTAAAATTAGCTGTATAATTCAAAATTAAAGACTCTATTCCTTTGAGAGAATTCTATAATTTTCAGGACGTCCATTTTAATGCACCTTTCATCTCTACCTGCCAATTTAGTGATCCAGAGCATATGAAACAATGAACCTGTTACAAACTATGTTTTACTCCATTAAACTTCCATCTGTTATATAATACCACACTTATATAAAAGCTGTGCCATGCAAATGCCTATACATTTTTTGGAAAAATTATCGTTGAACCTGAAACTTTTGTCTAGTAAAGGAAAAAAAAGAAAACCAAGAAAACTGAAATAGAAGAGAACTGTTAAAAAAAAGTATTCAAGTATACTACTTAAACAGATTAGAAACCTTTACTCAATAAGCAAGAAACTGACATTAGAGCAAAATTTGACTACATTTTTAATATGTTATCTGTTAAACTGGTTCAATTAGAAAGATGATATTCTGGATTTAAATGCTTTAGCACATGTAATGGAAAAAGCTTTGAAACTATACATTCTAATTATTTATTAGAATGTGTTTTGCATGGAAGATTTTATATAAGATTGGATCAAATTTTAGCAGTATTTTCTTTCCTGTAGCTTAAATATTGACACAACTGTGATTGCTGCTCTGAGTAGTTTAAAAATACACATACATGAGAATTTATTGGAATGTCAGCCATTGAGCTTTACTAATTTCAGCCAACACAAGACTTAGCCAAAAAATGATTGTAAAACAAACAGTCCATTGTCTTTTGTGTGACTTACCAGCTGTGTTGTGTTGACAGTTATCACACACTCCACCACTGCCCCTGTAGTGTTCCTGAGGAAAAGGGTCCATTGCTAAGTCATAGTGGCAGCTTACCGCATGGCCGTAACATCGACAAGGTTTGCAATTATAGGCATGAACTTGGTCACCTGGACGAAAAGGCTTGTCATTGTACAATGGCAAACAGCGATCGCACTGAAATAAAAAAAAGAAAAGAGAAAATACTATTTCTTTACCTTACAAGAACACTATTATACTCTCTATATTCATTTTTCATTCTATGTGTTTTCCTCTATTTAAATATTTAAAATATTGCTTTTAGAGAAGAAATGAGAAAGCATACAGGGAAATAACAAGACCAACTTTTTTTTCTTTTTAATCTTTTTAAGTTACTTTAACAACAGATCAAATTCAAGAAAGGTGGGCGGAAGAATAAAATTTTAAGTATTTAGATACTCAACACAGGCTAATGTCTTGAGATTCAGATTTAGTTAAACTTCTAAAGATGCAAAATGGTGCCTAGTGTGTTTGAAGCACAGAAGACATTCACCTAATGCATCCATTTGGATGCATTTTAAAAAATGTCTCTTACTGTAGTTTGTACAGTTACCATTTCACCCTGTGAGTGAAACAAAAGGCCTCTTATGGCCAGATATGTGTTGTACAGCATATCTGAAATGTCAGTACTTCTTAACATGCATTTATGTCATGAAATTTTCAGGAAAAAATTTTCAACAAAAACTACAAATCTCTATACATATTCAACTCTGTCAAGTTATATTTTTAAATATAACACCAACGCAATACTAGGATACCAGGCACATTGTTTAAACAAACACCTAAACAAACTGTCTCGTTTTCTTTAATTCTTTCCAAATTTATTAGATACAAAGGCTGATGTTATTCAAGTACTTAATTAGCTTAAATCCAAACTAGTAAAAATATTTTTTTAAGTAGTTCAGGAGCACCTCAGAAGCTGATTTTTTATTTGGACAAACTCACAATACTACTTTCGAAGTAGAGCTTTGTAAAGAATATGAAGTTGGAATAATCTTCAGTTCATAATAGACACTACAAAACTTAAAGGAGATAATTTATTGTGCCTACTGGTTCATCAAGAACTAAAATCAAATTAGACTTCTTAAAGTTAATGAATGGATAGCATTTTGGATAATTACATTCTCTTTATGGTGAATGATACAACTAGTTTTTATGAAATTGGCTCAAAAAATACTACGTTGGCACTGGAGAGATGTTTGTTTAGAAGAATTTTTATATTTTTTTTTTTTAAATTTAACTGGCATTACTAAAAGTCCATTCCCAAAATACTGGTACCTTGGTGGATCTAAGAAACAAAATATATTACAATTATAATTTCCATCTTTCAGAAAGAATTTAAATGCTTCAGAATAAGTTGCTTCTGTAAAGTATTTGGGCAACTTCCTTCTTAAGTTTCAGAAGTATACTCATCTTTCTTCATGTCTACTATTCCAACTACTATTCTACTATTTAGGCCCAGTGTCCCTACATCATCTATACACTGACCATTAGGAAACTATTCTTAAGTTTCTAAACTCTTTCATCACAGCTGATGCTGGAAAAGCTGGAAAAGCATCAGCTGTGGGTAAAATGAGAAGCTGAATTAAAAACCAAAAGATTAAGATAGTCCAAGCATTGTGGGACAGTGGTAACTCATAACAAAAGCAACTTGGGAGAGAAAATGAAAGAATTTATCTGCTGAAAATTAGTTTTAATAAATGAAATTAGCAGAAAGAGGTAAGATAACAACCACTGCACCTTTTTGCAATCTGTTAAAATCAAAACAAAACAACAAAAATCTATGTCACCACAATGAGAGAAAAAGGAGGTTTCAGGACAAAAATTAACAGGGCTTCACTTGAGACCTTGAGCTCTGACCTTTGTTTATGAGAAGAATCACTGCTAATAAGAATGAGCCCAGTTCAAGTGCACTGAGGGGAACGCCTTGACTACAACTGTTACACAAGTTACATGACTTAAACTTATTCCAATCCCTCCCTCATTCGCATCTATCTTTCCTCTCTCTAGTCACTCCCTTTGTCCCTACCTGGAGGAAAATCAGCATCACACAGCACCAGCCACATGAGACAAAAGCGTTCATTCAGGCATTACACAACTTGGGATGTGCAAGAAGGAAACCTGAACTCCCAGCCAAACCATCCCACTGATGCAGCTTCCTCCTTGCAGCATGTCTACGGAAATACATCCTCCTTGAAAGGAAAACAGTACAGGAATAGCTACCAACCTGCCAGCCCTGAATTTCCATTTGTGCCTGGCCAGCCACGTAGCAACTGAGAGCATTTGTCATTTTTTTTTCAGATTTAATCTTAGATCAGTTACTTATGCCCACCTGTGCTTGCACCTATTGTAAATGACAAACAAGCACTAGGGAGTAAGAGAAAAAAGATGGCATTTGATTACATAGCATGGATCCTCTTTGAACTACCACGTCTCTTGTTCTGTGACTATTGAAACTTTGACAAAACTTTTTAAAAGCCTTGGCAAATAGCTGGTCATTCAAAAGTTGCCAGTGACGGTGAAACAATTGCTGTTCTAGAAGTTGTCAGACCTGTACGCATTAAAAAAAGTGCACTGGATCCCCACCTCATCCTGCTGAGTTTGTCACACCTTTATTAGGTTAAGAAATTGCATTTAGCTTCCAGACCTGCTGTGTTTAACTTTAACTTTTGGTAGCGTGATGATATATACATGGCAATCTTCAGGTCTTCATTCACCAAATGTAAACTCTGCATTGTCTAAAGCATAGTTATTGAGATTTTCAAAGGTATCAAGAGATTCAGGTTTCGATTCTTGGCTACCACACGTAAAGGGGATAGGTAAGTTCCCAAAAAACCTTTGACAAATCTGAACAAGGTCTAGCAATGGATTTACAAAGAATGTTAATTCTTGACACAAGCAGCCCTTTTTCCATAGCTGTAAAACCCATAAACATGCCAATGTCCTTATTCTCAGTTACATCTAGACCCTTCAGAAAACATGTTAAATATACGGCTTTCCCTGTGGATGATAGCAAACATGTCGTCTTGATATATAGTATGTGAACTTTCTGTGAAAACAGTTTTCTGAATAAACATTACATGGATCCAGATGGTCAAAATACCTAGCTCATCTTGGCCCAATTCATTAGTCTAAAAGTACAAATAAAAAATTATTTCCAATAATGAATTCAGGAATATTTTTATTATTATTATTAAAAACTTACCTTCTCAAAATTCCTGAATCCAGCACACTTATGGAAAGATCACCAGTGACTTCAGCCTAAGCCTTTATGTATCAACTTCCTTATTAGCCACTAAGAATGCTGAGGACAGTGCCTCTGAAGAAAGAGTCAACAAATATTCAGAGAAGTACTTCAGAATGCTATGGTAACAATGCTTTAAGACCTGCAATAAGTGGGGTTGGAACTAGATGATCTTTAAGGTCCCTTCCAACCCAAACCATTCCATGATTCTATGATCAACTAGAACATTCTACTCCAACACTTTTAAAAATACCCCACTGCTTTTCTCTGGGTGGTATTTTTTCATTTTTTTCTGTAATGTTATGTAGAACTTATTCCTTTTCTTCTACCTAAGTAGAAGTTCCCATCTCACACTTGTCAAAGTTCAGTTGCAAAAACCAGTGTACATACACACCTATAATACTTATATTATACTTCTATAATATACATATGTTATTAATGGTACACTGATATAAAAACCTGCTGAAGTGATATCAAGATTAGAATGTCTCTTTGTCAGGCATTTTGAAATGCTGTTGTGTCTTTGAAAAACTCCATTATGTGTATCACCCAACCATGTGCTGCCCTGTAAGTGTTGACAATAATAGGATAGTTAGTCACATACTGTTTTTTCCTTCTTACAAGATCCCAGTCCGTACTTAAATGGGCACTACGCTTTCATTCCATTTAGTTTCATTAGCCAAATAAATACGGCTTCTAGGCAATACCTATTCCAGTGTAGTTTAGCACTGCTCTGAAGACAGGCATCTTAATTTCCCCGTGGCTTTTCCTCAGCACCCTCACTACAGCATTTGACTGTCTATCAAGACCACATGTTAGCAGATCTTTGAGCCATATCTGTCTTGTGAACTCCCCAAAGATCAAAGAGCTTTTAAATTCAAAAGTCAGGTTTTATTAGAGAAAAAGGAAAAAAAAAAAAAAGAAGCTAGAACATTTTAAGTGACTCCAAGTGACTAAGGAAGACAGAATAGAAGTGAAGGGTATCTTATGGGGTTCCATTGTAACACTCCATGTACCTTAAAAGGATGCAGCATAATTTTATAAAGTAAGCGCAGCCGTAACAGATGGTTTACAAATACTGTATGCCAAATAGCATTCTAAGAAAAGATACTACTGCTGCTTTGCGATGGTGAAGTGACTGACAAAGAACCTGACTGGCATAGAACATCCTATCTACCATGCTGAATGCCAGATTCCAATAATGGGACACAACTGAGATCTCAAACGCTGGCACAGATGTAGTCAGGCAGCATAAGATATATTTCTACTCAACTCCTCTTTCATTTATGCTTTTTTTGGTCAAGTTTTTGAAGCCACACTAAGTCCTACAAAATCAAAGCATATGCAACCATACTAATTCTGACAATCAGGCTGCTCAGTAAATTAATTCACACTTAAATTCTCCAGGATTAAAAATCAAAGCTATCTGATTCAATTCTATTCAAATCAGGCGTCCACTCCATCTAACTCTCATTTAGACTCCAACCCTGTAGAACTTCTGTAAAATAAAAGAGAGGGAGAAGGTATGTTTTGCAGCTGATGAGTTTGCCATGTTCTGTTTTGCCAAAGCTCTGACTTGCTCACGCTATTAAATTGTAAAAGTTCTTGTGTTTATTTTCCCCCCCTTTCTACCTTGTTTATTTGGAATAAGCCTTTGAATTTCATTCTCTTGTAACATTAGAGTGTGCCATAGCCACAGTTACTAGGTATTCAAAGGTTAATTTCACTCTTCTGAGGAAGCTATTGCATGGGATTTTTTTTATTTTTTTTTTTAAATAATAGTTTTAGTGGGGTAAAAGAAGAAAAAAACAGATTAGCTAATCACTTGGGTACTTATATGGAATATATGAAAAATCATAGAAATTCAATAAATATATGCAGAACTATGATTTACAACAGCTACTTCCAACAACAGTGAAGCACCACCCCAGTTGTGTCTCCATTTTCTTTCACATTAAATGAAATAAATATTCTGCACAGTGGATAAGCCCCTGAAAATCATTTTCAGATCGGAGAGCCACCTTAATTTCTGAGACGTAACAACGACAACCATAATGCTAGTTGCCATCTGCCTACCTCAAGTAAAACTTACAAACATCCGATCAAAACGTGTAAGGGATAATGATCACTTCACAATTCCTTCAGTATATCACCACCTGTGCAACAAATCATGACGTATCTGAGACTGCAATGAGTTCTTTCAGTATTTCAGCAATGCTCGTCCACAAATTGTTTTAGAAGCTTGGATCTTTGAACTGTGAAATTACACCAGTTTTCCAGGGGTAGATTCATGGACAAACCCATAACTTCCACAGGCATGACAAAAGTTATCTAGAATTTTCAGGCAGTTAAGACTACTGGACTAGATGCCCTTCTGCTTGCTGCTTCCTAAAATTCCAGTCAACCACCTGTCTGCTCTATTTCCTTTCTTTTTATTCTTATATATCCAGCTTCCTCCCAGGCCTATCCTCTGGATACACAAATTATGGCACAGAGCTTACCAAAAAGTGCAATTTTTGCTAGCTTGCTTGCTTCTGCAAGCTAGAAATCTTTGTTATTGAGTGACCACTTACTATAGTTAATATTTACAGCTCCTCAGGTACTATGTATCATTAATTCCAACATCTGACATGATGATACAGATTGACCTTTAACTAAGATTTAGACAGATTCTTCTGTAACAACATAAAAAGCCTTATTTATCCAATTCTTGGTAAATCAACAATGCCATATCCAGTTTTCAGACTGCAGATGTTTAAGGCCATTAATTACTTGCACAAAAATTCTGAAGACTTGAAGCCTTTACTGTATTCAGTCACTCTCTCATTTCCATTCATACCGTCTCAAGCATTTATCAGAGTTGCTTTCTTTATTTTAAATTATATTTTCTACTATTATTTCTACAATTGTGCCTGTATATTTTGCCATTAATCTTCTGTATGACCAATTTAAAGGAGGCTCTGAGGTTGTAAAGTAAGGCTGACCTTGTTTGCTTGTCATCTTTTTTCATGGGCTGTTTCCATCATGTGACATCACGCAAAGTTTTTGAACTTACTATTACTCATGTCTATAAATTAGTCTTTGCGTATAAATGTTACCAAAATCTGGGCTCTGCTCTTGATGCCTGAGTTTTCATTTGTAAAAGGCAAAGCTATTTCCCAAAGCAGGACACAAGGCATTTACAAAACAACTTGTAAATAAAGAAGCTTAACATTTTTTTCATAAGATGAAAGACAAGCTCTGTGAGGATTTATTTCCTCTTCTTTCCTAATCTGGCCCTTCAACATCTGCAAGCCCTTCTTAAGCATTCCCTTCTTCATATCATCTCAAATTTAATAGCAACATATTTCTTCATCAAAACAGAACACAGAGGAAAATTAAAAAAAAAGAAATCCCATTTAGTATGTCAAATTTCATAACATGGTGATGCAAATAACTAAACATTTTAATTTGTAATGAATTATGCAAAATTTTCATTTCTAGTATTGCTTTGCTACACAACAACTATCCAGATGTACACGCCAGATAAATTCAAGATGGTACTTTTAGTTGTATTAAGTGTAAATGTGACAAGGACATACTCTGCCATATGTTAAGAGCTTGTCAAGAGATCTCTGATTTCTGGTCCAAGATAATAATAATAAAAAAAAAAAAAAACCCAAAAACCTTCTTATACCCTCTCAGTTGTTGGTGACTTACTGCTAGCACAGGACAGAAGTTAAAAAAAGACTGTTTGCTGACAGCGCAATTTCTTCTCAAAAAATGTGCCCCCTCCCTCACAAAAAGTTTATATTTGGAAAGTTCCTTCATCAAATGCTTAATTAAATCCAAAATAATAATAATAATAATTTTAAAATGCTTAATTCACTGGGGTGGGTGCCCGAGAAGCATAAGCACAAGTCTATAAGACAGTTTTATCAATGTCAATGATAAGTCAAAAACCAGAATGGATTTTGGTTTTGCTTTTAAGTGTTTGCCTTACAAAAACCCAAAACCTTTAATCTGTTTGGATTTCATGTAAATCCTTGATAAAAGTAGTTAATGATATATGTGCAAATATTAATTCTAAATTATTACTACTCCTATTTTATTTTGTATTTAGTAGATACTGACATGGTTATTAAAGAATGAGGAAAATAATTAAACATCCTTATTCTGCTCTGAATGAATACAGTTAATTCAAGCATTTCAATTATAGTTAGAATGCATATATGCCAAATCAAAAACATGACAACTCATTGGAACAACCCATTAACATTGACAGAAAATATCTGATAAGGCAGATACATTTTAATGATGTATTTGGTTTGTTTTCACAAGGTAGCATAAGTCTTGCAAGAGTGCTTGGTGAACTTCCAAATCTTATTAAATATTTATAATTAATCCCTACAAAGTAACATTTCACAATGTGTGTTCTAATTAAAGGGACATTGTCAGTTTGAATTTTTTTTCTAATTTGACCCATCTAAAAACTTCAAATTTCTGTTGAAATCCCATTTAAACTGTAGATCCTACACTTCTACTTAAAGAAACTAGAAAACTTAGTTCCCCTATGAAATTTTACAAAGATCTTTCACATGATAAGCACAATATCAAACACAGTCAGGCTAACACTTCTTGCTCTGCTCTAGCAAACACTGACTGCTTGGGAGTTTTTTGATGTGAGATTAGTCTCCCCTTTCCTACTGCTGTTGCTATTCCATAACCCAGTTCTTAATTTTTAGAAAGCCTATTTCCAAAAGGCATAAATATAGCAAGGAATACAACACGTACTCGTGATGGAAACCTAACATTCAGTGGGATTGCAGGATTCATTCCTCTGATGTAACTCATTCTTTCTTACCTTCAACTTCTTTTATTTTTCTTTCTTGGGCTTTTGGGGGAATTTTTGAGATAAATAATTAATCTAGAGACAGAATCTTTTCCATTATTCTAAACTCTCCTATACATATTTCTCTAGAAGATCAAGGCTTATAGTAAACCACCCCATTTTGGTTCTCCTATGGCCAAGAATTATAAAGCCAGTTGGAAAATTATAATTTTGCAACTTGGTAAGTTTCAACTACACACTACGCTTCACAAAATCCCTCTTTATTGAGAAATTCTCTTAAGAACAAAGCTGTGATAAGAATGTTTTTTTCTAGACTGTATCTAGATTTAATATGGCCTTTTAATGAATTCCAAGAAATTTAACCTTAACATCAACTATCTGAAAACACAGAGCGGTAAAAAGTAATATTAGGTTTGTTCTTTTGTTAGAACAATCATGTTGCTACCACAGATCATTTTAAAGATAACCAAATGTCATATATGACTGTAAAAAGTATGGGGAATTGACATTTACAGACTGTCCTTAAATAAGTTCAAAGCTCAATTTTCAATGTTTTAAAAAGCCACTACCCAAATCATTGATTCAGATCAAAATAATAAGTCTCCCAAGAAAATAACTTCCAAATCCATATGTACAGGATGTCTCAGTATTTTCTGAACTATGCTTAACTATGCGAGACATGTAAAATCAAGCCCAAAACGTTTTAACTCTTCTTATCTTAGCCATATTTTGTAAAACTGCATCAAAACATCTCATTCTTAGCTGAAGTCAGAGACTGCAATCTACAGATGCCCCAAGTATCTACAGACGTTCCAAGTATCAGAAGGTAAATCTATGTTAGTGGTTTACCCTGGATTAGGCATGCAGTTTTGAAGCAAATCTCCAAGTTTTCTGCATTTACTGTGCTTTGGTTTGCATCATAGAGCTGTCTTGGACCATTTGAACTGTTCCTTTTCAAATGACGCTAAATTGGAAGTGGAACTCCAGGACTGTGCTTACCGCACTCCATCTACTGAATGGGCCTGGAGTCTATAGAACCAGATTAAAAGTACTGTAGAGTAAAACAAACACACACACACACCCCCCCAAAAAAAAAAAAAAAAAAAACCCTGAAGTACATCTGCTGTGAATTCAGGTTTGCATCTAATGTTTGAAAGTGGCATAATCCTCTAGCAAGAAATCAAATCCCTGAACACAGCACTCCTAATGGTCTGTGGTAGAATAGCTTTTGGCAGGGGGAGCATGTGTGTGTGGTGGGGTTTTTTTCCTTATTTAATACAAATCCTGCTTTGCAAAGTTTTCCTATAAAAGCTAGGGCAACACTAACACACATACACACACTTTTTCCCAGGACTGAAATCCCAATTTTTGAGGCTGTTCATAGGTGATGTAGATAGGCAAAGGAGAGACTAACATTATTTCCTTCTGTATAGCTTTCCTTGACACACAGGCACCTATACGGTTCCGTAGTGGCATCACAATTATCAGCATGGCCATGGCAATTACACCTGAAAGAACAATAGGTAGCGAAGAAAAAATTAAAATATGGAAATGTATCTGTCCAACAATATATATAATGTGTTCACAAAGACGATTTTGTGTATTAGTCTGGTTCTTTGTTAAGAACAAATAAACACCAAAGAGAATGTTAAGTGCAGTAACCTACAAAAATTTCACTCAACGTATTTTTAAGTATCAACAATTGCTTTCCAAGAAAATAAAAACCACCGTGTAGTAGAGCTACTATTACCTTATATAATATGTAATGAAAACTATATTTCAGTAATAACATTAATATGTAAAATTTTATTAAATAAATGGCAATTATTCATAAATATTACACCTCACAGTGTGGCTATAGTTTTTCAAGAAATCTTAACCATATCAAGCATAATCTTCTAGTTTAACCCATTTTGATCTCAGTTAAAAAGTCAACTTCTTACTAAAAATCTTCATAGAGTATTAGTTAATAGGCAATAACCATCCCAGTCTACCTGAAGGGTTTCTCCTCTGGGGGCATGGCATAGCTTTACAAACTACAGCTGAAATTTTACCATTACATAGTCACCAAGATTGTAGCTATTTTAGTAAAAGCATTATCATAACACATCTCAATCAATAATCAAAACATATTAGTAGTGCAGAAAATTTTAAGGTAAACATGACCTCTAATGGGGTGCTTTCTCTCAAAACGAGAAGTACCAAAATAATTTCAGGAATAATACTTATTAACGAAAATCTGCACCATATGCTTCTTGAAACTATTTCATTGCCAAATTTGCATATTATTTGCAGGGCATAATTAGTCCTTTCACAAGACGGCACACTTATCATATACAATAAAGTTGTCAGTCACAGATAATGTAACACTTTTACTGACAGCTGCCCAGTTTTAAAAGGAAAACTGCAGCTAAAAGAAAGAATGAGCTCTGCATTAAGACTTCAAATTGCCACGTCTGGGAATCCATAATGAAACTTGGAAGAGGTACTGAAGTAAAGCACAAGCCACATTTTTAATCATAAGCCTTTGCTTAGAGGCACTGGTAATTCCAAGGAAAGGACTGCTTTTGACAGATTTGTGTAATAAGTATAATTACTTTTAAAATAACATGTGAGCAAATGTTTTAAAAAAGCAGCACACCAATCATTTCAAATTTGATGCTCTGCTTCAGACCAAATTCCCTTCTCATTCATAAATGTAAAAGCAGAACAACTTCATTAAATTTTAGGCAGGTGATTATATACTTTGCACAGCTGTAGTAGTCGGAGGCAGTGATGGGTGGGGGAAGAGTTCCATAACACCTACCTTCCGCTGACTGTAACTTCATTTACTCCATAGTATCTATGCCTAAAATTTACCCAAGACTCAGTAGTGTGATACTGGCCATGGAGATGAATCCTCACTTGTGTAGCTTTTACAAAGTCTTGGAGAGATGGAGTATTGTAAAAATCATTGTAACCAGGTCGGTGATTTGGTTCCGGGGTAAGAACACTAAAAGTTAGATTACCACGGGAATACGGTGTAAAGCTGTTTAAATAGAGAGGAAGACAAATGAAAATCAAACTGTCACATTTTACAGATTCTATCTCCTAATATCTTTTTTTTCTCAGAGAGGGTCTCCACTTAACTGTGCGTAGGTGGTTTTTTTGTGGTTTCTGGGGAAAATTCTTATGTCAGTGGATTTCCAGTCACCAGAATTCAAGCAGGGGAAAAGAAATGTCTTCTATATGTCTAGTTTTCCCCAAACTACCATGCTCTTCTCAGGCCCTAAGTTTCCAATTAAGAGGAAAGCCTATAAAGGGCAACTTCAAAATATGAATGAAGTGTGACTGATACAGTGTCGCCTTCACTAAATTTCCAAAAAGTTTAACACGTTGTCTTTGAGAAACATGAACTATGCTTGGACTACATAAGGAAATCATTCAGATGACTACTACAATAATTAACATGTCCATTTTGTTAATTATATACCTGCTAGACACGTAAAAACCATACAGAAATAATTACATTTTGAATTCCAGAGTCGCTGGACTGTATTATCTCATTTATCTATCTCATTCAATGAGTGAGCAGAGTTAGAAACACACGCCACCTTCCAGTGAGTAAAGTGCAAGAGAATTTAATGGAATGCAGCAGGATTGAGACTAAAACTGTATATTTAAGCCCAAGAAGGGGAAAGTCCTGAGAATTCCAGCAAAGGTTGAGTAAAGAAGTATATATAAACTCCATGTTTGCACAATTTGGTATGAATCTTATCTCATGGTCATAGTTCAGCTATGAGTGAAACTTGCCTCCACAAGAGGCAAGAATGTCTGCTTATTTGCACACCTACATGGGCTCATCAAAAATAGGTATCCCACAGTATCACCTGGCACCTGACATACTACATTCAAAAAACATAATTAACATCACTTCAAAACATCTCTGAGCTTTCAAAAGATGAGATTCATATTTAGACTAGGTCTGCTGAGTCATATTGCTCTGTCTTCATGAAAGACCTTTGAATTTACTGTGCCCCTATCCAGGTCAGTGATTCACAAAAGTCTCAGTGGAATTTATCTGTATGTTTCTCTGAGGGGATATTGTCCTCTCTTCCCTTCTGCAGAAAGTTAAATAAAGTATTTTTCTTGCATGACTTATAGAGCTGTAACGGAAATGCTAAAACAGGTACGAATGGCAGGTGAAGAACACCATCTTGGTATGGAAGCACCAGAAGGAACAGCAGAAGGACTGTAAGGCCGATGGCACCTAGATAAGCAGATGATCAAGATCTTAGGGCATCTACACGCAGCTTCTCAGGAAACCAGAAAAACAAAGAGCCTAAAACCAGGGTCAGGCAATATTCAGACTAAGCAAAGATTCAAGGCCCTGATAAGGGGATAAAGGACAGTGAGCAACTGCTAACTTACAGAGGTGGTACAGGATAAAGAAAGAAAAACCTTAAGCACTCTCACTTCCTAAAGGACACAAAAGAGTCCATTCAGCACTAGCACATGGTCACTAAACCAAGAACCCTCAAGACATGGTAAGGATTTCAAAGCCAAGGTCACTTGCCTTCTATGCCAACCCAAGGAGTCCTGGCTAGGCCACCAGGATACAAGTACACTGGTGTCTAAATCCTAGACAGATAATTTGGACACTTCTTGGTGCTTACAGGTATGTGGGTATGAGAGAGAGAGAGAAACTAGTTTTACAATAAAATCACCTTCCCCTCCTATAAAGGTCTCAGCAGGGAGCTCTGCTACACAGCTAAAACAAATTTGGAGCATTGTTCCAACAGTAACTTCTCTGAGTACACAGAATACTCACCATTACAGGGTGTATTTCTTATCTTTTAAACAAAGCTTTCTGTACATCAGCTGTACCCAAAATCATTCATTCATATCACTTCCTATCATCATTTGGGATGTTATCAAAGGGGAGAAATAGTGCTACTTACATAATATTGCTGGAAACAATTCATACTTAACTCCTCGGTTCTCTTTAGAAAAGATTCAAATATGTATTTCTGAGCTAAAAAGGGCATTACACCCCATTTGGATTATTTATCAAAAAACGTTTGGCTTGCTTAAGAGATTTCCCTTCTTCTCTACCTTCTGCTCCAAGGATCAGCAATAAAGCTCAAAGTCCTTTGCTGAAAACTGATGTAACTCAGATGACCTTATGCTCCTCTCCTCAGAATACTGAACTCCTGGAGAACAAAGATGCTGACACTTGAAAAGTCTTAGGAAGGTAGCAAAAGTGAAACAACAACAAAAAAGCAAAATGCCTACAGCACCTGGTACTGTATTTTCTCACTGATTTCCAGCCAAGTACTAAACAAGCCTAATACTGACTGGCATCTGAATTCAGGCAAAAGATAGTATATTTGAATACATGTAGTGGTATAGATTCAAATATATATGTACATACATGCATGTGTGTAAAATTATAATATATATTAACTATATCTTATGTATGTTATACACTATATTTATGAAATGTATATTGTATATATTATATATTTTTAAATTTGCACAGGCTGTCTAGTAAAAAGCCTTGCAACATGTTTCTAAATGGTAACAATCCTTCTTCCCCAGCCCCAGTTTTATTTTAGTTCTTGCTTAGACTAGAAAGCTTCAAGATACAATTTTCAACCCATTTCTTACATGTTGTGCATGATTAGTAGTAAGGCTGAATGATTGGCTTTTATACTTAAGTTTGGCCTCTCTTCTAAGCTTCAGAATAAGTTGCACTCTCAGAGATCAGCAGGTACACTTTCACATTCATCAGATAGTTTAAAATAATCTGTTGTATCAGTACTTTCCTCTACTCTTCATCTCAACGTTCTGTAATTCTACTGACAAAAGCCCCCCAAAACACAAACACAAACATGTAAGTCCACCTCAAAAGTAAAAATCAATTGTGTCACATTCCTCTATGTCTGAAATCTGATAAAAATGACAGATGACCTTTTGGCAATCTTCAATCGAAAGGTCAGATTTGGGATCTTTTATGTACTCAGCAGCCCATAATAAATGAGTACACCAAATTAAAAGATTCTATCTCACTGGGACATAGAAATGAATTATGTCAGGATGTTACCTGCTCAAGGCATCTGTATTATGCAGATAATACCCACTCATACCTAGGAAGCTGGAGACAGTTGACAGAGTCTGGTTTTTCCAGAGATCCATTGTTATCCATTCCAAAAATACTGCAATTTTTAGCAAAATACTGCCAGTCTTCCCAGTTTAGATCATCTCTTTTTTTCCTTTCAATTCTTATTGCTTCAGGGTGTGGACTAAAGAACTGCAGTATAATGTAGAATACCTACAAGGAGATAACAAATTTATAAAGTGATATTAATGGCTAAGTTGTAAAACAATGAGAATATAAACTTCTTTTTTCAATGAGACAATATAGTCTGCTTTATCACTCACAGACAGAAAAAGAACCAGTATTTCAGTCCACATATTCCCAATTAAGACCAAAGATAACCTTTTTTGTTAAACAAGTTCTTTGATCTCTCAGACATTATTACACAACAACTGAACTGTTGCATCAGAACTCCACTTTTTCTTGAAGACCATTTGAAAATGCGCTAAAGTCCATGATGCCTTACAGTAATATTATTTTGGCAAAAATGAAGAGCATATCTTTGTGTTGCCAAATATTTGATGAGTTGTTTTGTCTGATAACAGACACTTTTTTTTTTTTTTTTTTTTTTTTTTTTTTTTAAGGAATCTCCCTTTTTTTAGCTTGGAATGTCATCAAATCCCCCATGTTGTGTGAAAAAGCACTTTCCCCAAATTATACAAAATGCGTGTGTCAAATAAGCCAAACCTTAGAACTTCACAAGCATTTGAACTCGCTTTTAACTAAAGGACTAATTCTTACTTATTTAACCAAAACTTGCCATCATATTCTTTCCCTCATCACCATTAATGACAAAAAAGAAAAAAGATAAGCTAGAAAGAATACACAGAAATTTGGTAGAGCCCCTATTGTGAATGGAGCCCCACTACTGATATGTCCCTTCATCCAATCGCTCTTCAACAGCATAGTGAAGCATTATGTGCAATCTGGCCTCTTCAGGAACCTTGTCTGCTTATCGAATTCTCCTTCCATATTGCTCAGGAGGCTAAACTACCACATCCAGAACATCTACAAAACAGAAATCCCCTCTGATATGTCAGTGTGCCACAGACATGCTAAATTCTATTTGACTGCAGTCAGATTTCTACCAGAAAGTATAAAACAAGCACCTCAAGTTTTAATGGAAATTAAAGTTGAAATTTACAAAAGTGGAGTTAAAAGAGAACAACCAATTTCTAAATACTGGCATCTTCACACAGGATATCCACTCTGACACGTCTATTCTAGATTACTGCTTGTTACATCAGCCAAGGCACATCAAAAGAGAATGACAAAAATCATAATGCATTCTGTTGCCTTTCACATTGTTTCATGCTGATAAAAGAAGTTTTCTTCCTGGTCCTCTAAGGATAACATCTTAAAGCATAAGGTTTAAATTTCCTCAAAATTGTAATGAAATGTCTACAAAATTCTCCCAGTTTTGCTTTAATAAATAGCAAATGTCATCTTCTCGTTACCTGATACTGTCCATTTTGTAAATCTATTGTGATGGAAACACCATGATCCAGACCTGCAGTATTAGCAAACACAGATGAAATCCAGGTGGTCCCAATGTCATCATCATTGATGTAATACAGGGGATGGGCTTCTGCATCCAACCTCAGCACTCTATCGTTAGTTGTATCATCTGCACCATTAGGGATGCAGTACCTCTGTATCAATGGGTGTACACGGGGATGACTTCCAGGACAGCGGCACTCAGATTGGGTATGCAGATGAGGAAATTTTCCAGAGAATACTTCCAAAATGTCTCTGTCACAGCATATAAAAAAGTAATTACATACATGATTAAAAAAAAAAAAAAAAAGACAAGTGCCACTTTGTGCCTCTAGGCTCATAGATTAAACAAAATTCAGCTTAGATTATAATAGAAGCCCTAAAAGCCTGGTTTCATCTCATATAAATGGGCCAGTCAGGCAGGAACCAGGCCAGGGTCCTACGTAATTAATGGTAAACAGCAGGCACCTTCAGAAGGCATTTGTGAAGAAGCACTCTGGAGTTGCTTTCATTGCTTCACGGATATGTACGGAGCCAAGGAAAATTATCTCCTTGTTGGGATGTCTAAAGCTAGGTGGGACGAATCCAGCCCAATAAAACTCTTGATGTTTTATGTCTGACTCCAGTGGTCTGGATGCTGTTCTTAAGCATACCATAGCACGGGCATATTGCCTGCAACTGCAGATGAGTTAAATGTTTGCACTCAAATCCTCCAAAAAGACCAGCTTGAGCAATATCTCATTGCACCTTAGAAAACCTGGATAGAAATATTTTCAATTTTAACTAATACAAATGTCCACTTTTTTTAGTTGCCCCAGTCTGTAATCACTCTGGTTGCTTCTTACACCCCATGTCAAAGCCACTGAGTCACTTTAGTTTCCTCTGACATCAGCAACTGAAATACACAGGTAGGTAGGTAGGCAAGCAGATAGATACATGAACAACGTGGGCAGGTTACCTAAACCTTTATCTCCTTATCTCTGGTCTAAAAGAAGGATTTTGTGAGCCTAGAAGATACTGAATTTTTAAATTAAAAAACTCTTACTTTTCCCATTTTCCTACTTTATCAGTAAGAACAGGATTTTCATATACTTATTAAGCGAATAAATACTTGGTAGCTACCACTACAAATTCCACAGAACCCAAAGTTACGGGACCTTTTATAGCCATAGACTTAAATTGACTGATATGCAGGCGAGACTTTCCTTCACAGTTTATCCCAGATAAACATTTTGCACTAAGTTATTTGTGGATATAAAACTACATCTACAAAGACATCATTAGGTTGCAACACTTTGTAAAATACCTTATCCTTCAATTTTTAAACTTTATTCATTTCACTGACTTAAATTGTAGTTCAAAAGATTTGACAAGCACTGCTCTGAAAGAATACAACCAACATGATTTTCATATAACTTGGAATTCAGATTCATATTAATACTTTAAATCATAGGAGCGCTGCTCATTGTGACATCCTGCAGACAGCCAAGTTCCTGGAAAGCTGCTCTACACCTTATTGAAAGACTATCATTAAGTAGCTTTAAGGTCTGCAGTCACCAGTGTCATCGCGTGTAGCCTACCCAGAAGCACCATGCAGACAAATAGGACCTGACTACTTCTGGCCAGCTTGAATTGACTAGATTAATCCAGCATGAGCTGGATAACAAAGGTAACATTTCCTTGTAATGCGCTAGGAAGGGAGGCTGGAGGGCAACAGAAATTGCAGTGGCAACCGTAATTTGGCCTCAGGGATGGAGGAAGTCAAAGCAACTGCCCAGGGCTATGTGGGCCAAGCTAGCAAAGTCATTGGCAGCTTATGGTGACAATCCAATATAGAAAGCAATGAACACTTAAGACAATAGCACCTCAGGGTAGAGGGGTGTGTGTGTAGGGTGGGGAGAGTGTCAAGAATACCCGACATGGACATCCGATACCATGGGGAAGCTGAAACCAGGAACTGCTATGCACAGCAGCCAAGCTCGCAGCCACAAAGCCAGCATGCTGATCAGTTGGAGTGCCTGTCCTCTTCACTTGGATCACTAGTGGTCTCAACTGGACTGGCCCGCTATGCTCCCTTCCTCGCCCTGCAGTTTACATGGAGCTCTGAGAAAGCTTGGCAAGTCTCATCCAGCAGGAA